TTAGTTTGAGCTGTAAGAACAGCTCATGAGTAATGTCCGTGCATCTTAGCTAAGTTCCGAAATTCTTTTGGGCAACTGATTGCAAGCCTTGTTTACGTACAGTTGTGTCCAGCGGTGTTTGGGAGGATCTCAGAGGACAGCGAGTAACCGAAGTCAGGGGTTGGCAAACAGAGAAATTTGAATTCCATATAATCTTAACATGTCATAAAAATGTTTTTCCTTTTATTATTTTCCCAACTATTTAAATCAGTAAAAACCATTCTTACCTCAAGAGCTGAACAAAACCAGGTCATAGGTTGGATTTGGTGCACGGACTCTGGACTACTGACCCGTGACCTAAAACATTGCAGTTAGTCAGTCTGTGAAGACCTCCTGGTGTCAGTGCTAACCTGAGACCTCATCACCACGTCTGTTCTGAAAATCGTATGAAAGTGTTCTCTACTGGCTTACTTTATGTATGTCTACATGTTTATTCAAACCATATTTTATGTCAACTTGTTGATGTTTCTTAAAATATGGTAAACATGTTTTTTAACATCGGCTACCTTGAAAAACATGCTAAACTTAGGGATCTCAGCCCTTAATATATAAGCACCTGCCATGAACTTGAGATGTAAATAGCTCAAAAGTTGTAAGCATGCTTATTTAAAATATAATTTGTAAACAACAGATGGTACTTATTTGCTGGGAAAGGGAAGGCCTGTTAAGAAGAAAGTAACCTTGGACCAATGGGGTGGAAGGTGTCGGAAGTGCCCAGGTCCTCAGTCAGCAGGAAAGCCCAGCTGCCCAGCCAGCAGCGAGGCACACTCTCCCCGACCCTTGGGGCTCAGTGCCAGCTGCTGCTGCCCATGAGGTGCTGCCCGGAAGGTGACTCCAGCCCTTTGTGCAGTCGGGGTGGGGACGACAGGCCGGGCAGAGAGGGAGCTGGCCTGCCTTCTGCCCTGGCCTCTGTTAGCTGGCAGGAGCCATTTATTTCAGCTTATTGAAGGAAAATCAATGTGACCATGTGCAGCCCAGCTCTAAGTGCTTGGTTTTATCAGTCACCTCCCTCTGTGCTGTCCTTGGGCTGTGTCTTCACTGTAACCCGAGCCCAGCACTCAAGCCTCCAGGCCCACAGTGCCGAGCACCTGTCACGTGTGTTACGAAGGAAGTGTTGACTCAGCCCACCAGGAACTGCCACCTAGAGTGGAAGATCGCCAGAGGTGGGGGACGGTTTGTTATTTACATTAGCAGTTGCTCTGGAACGTGACTCAGGTTGACCCTGGCTTCCTAAAGGAGAAGAGTTCTCACTCATACCCTTTCTATCCGCTGCTCTCTCTCCCTTCCTCTCTCACACACACACATGTCCACACACCTCGTCAGTCTAAATACAAAGGATCTCATTTGATCTTCAAGCAGGACATCATTTTATTTATTTATTTATTTATTTTTCCTGTAATGATTTTTAGACATAGAGAAAGGGAGCGGGAGAGGGAGAGAGAGATGGAAACATCAATGAGAGAGGACATCGATTGGCTGCCTCCTGCACGCCCCCCGCTGGGGATTGGGCCCACAACCTGGGCATGTGTCCTGACTGGGAATCGAACCTGAGGCCTCTTGATGCAGGGTCGACGCTCAACCACTGAGCCACCTGCTGGGCAGGACGTCATTTTATGTATACACCAATGTCAGGTGTCGAACAGTATAATTTAGCCTCTGCATACACTGCTAACTGATAGCCCTCAAAGTCTTGTTATCATCTGTCTCATGCAATTGACCCTCTTCACCACCATTGGAGTATCTTAGGGGTCCTTTCTCCAGTTGTTGCTCAGATCCGGTTATGAAAATGAGGCTAGTCTAGCCTCACTCCTCGGTTGTATTGGAACTGGTCTCTGGTGTTCAGGGAGAGTCTGAGATGGAAGACTTGAATCTGGCTGGATGCAGAGGTGGAAATAGCTGTCAGGTGAGCTGGACAGGAAGCACAGCGCACTGCTGTGCACAGGTCCCTGGTGCAGTTTCCACTGACCAGCAGTGACCATGACGTAACCTTCAGACAGTGAACACCACAGATGGTGAACACCGTACATTCGTACAGTGGCGCGTGAACAAGTAGTCTTGCACACTGAGGACTTGTTTCTCCTGTGTTAGGTGAATATTTACCATTTAGATTACAGTGATTACTGTCTCGTAGACATCCGAAAGGCAACGCCCTCGAGTGGTCGATGTCGCTCCCTCTGGGCCCCCCGTGGTCAGGCCCGGGAGTGTTGGGGCAGCTCTGATGGGGACTCGCTGGTGCCCCGTCCGCCCAAGCACTGGAGGTCGCTTTACCTGCTCGCCTTCATTTTGAGGAGAAATCTGGACGCCAACTTGTGCATCTTCATCTCGTGTCTTCTCTCTTCAGTGCTTTGACTGAAATTCCTCTCACGTCTCTTCAGGTCCCCAAACCTTCTCCCTGGCTGCCTCCAGCAGGAAACGCGGGGCGCGGCGGGCTTGTGGTGGGGCCTGGGAGGCGTTGCCCTCATCCAGGACCGTGTCCTTCACAGCGGCAGTCGCTGCAGGCCCGGAGCTGGCGGGGAGCTGGCGGGGAGCCGTCAGCGAGCCCCTGGGGAACCTCAGGCCTCATCTGCCAGGTGCGAGTGCGAGAACTGCCCCGAGAACCATCTTCCCCTGCGCGTCCTTTGCAAAAAGACACTTGATGTCGTCCCTTTGGCTGAAATGAGCAAGTTGATGGTGTCGGTTCTCAGAGACTTGGTGTTAAACAGAGTGCCTGTTTTCCCTGTATCTGGTGCGACCAGGCGGGTTATTTTAACAGAGTCATAGCCACGTGGCGTCACCGTTCCTCTGCTGTTTCTGTGGGGTGGACATGCCCTCCTGCTGTCCCCACCGTGGCTTTCCACGGTCGTCTCCATCCCTCTGTTCCTTCCTGACTGGCAGCCAGACTCCCCTGCCGACCAGCCAGGTCTCTGGGAACGCCGAGGGCCGCACTTAAAATATGTAGCAGGTCCCTTCCCTGCGCTCAGAGCCAGGAGCCTCCCAGGGGCCACCGAGGGACGCGTGCACAGGACAGGCTCTGCCCTGCAGGTACCGTGCACGGGGACTGTTCCTCTCATGTGATATAAATGAAATCTTCATTCTGCCCACTTTTACACCTACACATGTACTGAGCGTCTCCAGGGAGACAGGAAGCCGGGAGTCCAGAGATGGTGAATTCTCCTTGGAGATGGCAGGCTGGAGTTTCAGGCTTCCGAGCTCCCTGCAGAAGCTCCCTTCCCCAAGGCTCCCTCCAGCATGCCCCCTTCCGGACGAGGTAGCCTGTAAGTTCCTCTAAGGGCTGCCTGGGTGAGTTCAGTAGGCAGAGCCTCCTGGGGCCGGAGGGTGGGTGTGGTGTGGAGGCGGGACAGGCGGGTCCATCCTTCCCAAGATCTTTCTTTGTCACCCACTTGTCATCTGTGCTGCTCTCCCGTGGCCTCCCTGTGCCTCGTAGACTCAAAGGCACCACTCAGCCTCACAAAGTGCCTTAATGTCCTCGTTACACGACTGTGGTTACGAGCTTAACTTAGTGAGATGGTCCTTTCAGGAGAAGCACTACTTTTGCCTACTCAGCAACTTCCTGTGTCTGCTCATGGGCACTAACCCCCCAAAGCACTCTCTCCCTCTCCGGGGCTCCAGGCCACCTCCTTCTCCTGCCCACCGTGTCCCTGGGAGCTTTCTTAAAACGAAAACATCATGTTCTCATTGAAGTCCATTACGCACATTTTCTAAGACTGGTTCCAGATCCTTTCAAGGGATGACCACATACCTCTGTGTGCGCATCTTCAGACACAGAATGAGTTACCACGTAGACATTCCTGGTGGTGAAATCACCAAGAGCTCTCGCTTGTCTCTAAACTCTGAGCATATCATGTAATGAGGATGCTTGACACATCTTCCGTGTGCATGTTCATGGTTCTCAGCTGAATGGATGCGATTTCCAGCACAGTGTCTGCACACTCTGGCTGTCTGTGCCTGGTCCTGCCACTCTCCTTGGAAGGCTGTGGCTTCTAGTAAATTCTTTGACAGCAGATGTCCCCGTGAAGGTTTATTAGTGGCACATTTTTTCCTTTTTATTTGAATGTTTTTAAAAGATTGGTCATAATGTACAGGGAATATGGTCAATAATATTGTAATAACTTTGTACAGGGACAGATGGTGACTAGACATATTGTAGCGATCACAGTGTAAGGTTTATAAATGTAGAAGCATGGTGGTGTACGCCTGAAACTAATATGCTATTGTATGTCAACTATACTTTAATTAAAAACAGAAAAGATAGGCAGTCGCACTTTCTGCACTTTGGGGGACTCTCCTGTTGCCTTTTGCTTTATTTGCAATTCGTATCACCCCTTCAGTGCTGCCTTTAAGTGAAAACCCTCTATGGCATGAGCTAGGACAAACCATTTGCAGTTAGATGTGACCAGTGTTGCTCACAGGAGGTCAAATTTGAAAAATTCTTCCCTTACATAGTCCACCGAGGTCCCCATTGGTACAGCTCCTCTGTTTTGTCCTCCTTCCCAAGTAACTCTATCCACATTGCCTGCGCCACTCAACTCCTCTCTTCCGGGCTCGGGTGCGGTGAAAAGCACCCCTTTCGACTTGAGTTCCCATGTCCCCAGAAGTGGAGGAGGGCGGAGGTGCCTCTGAAAAGAGCCCCCCTGCCTTCTAAGGCGCCCCCAGCTGCTCCGTGCCATCCTTCCTCAGAGTCTGCTCCTTCAGGATCCAGATTTTCTGTTTGATTTTGGTAGCATAAAGCGTCTGCTTAGATGGATCGCTAAACCTAAAGTACTGTGTATGAGACTGACTAAATCTAAGAAAGTGGAAACAAATTCTAGAAACGTTTCCAGAGCAGACTGGTGGAAAGTTTCGTTCGCTGTTTCATTGCCTGGAATTGGGCATCAGAATCCAGTCCTCAGTGCCCTCCCTGGCCCTGCTGTGAGGCAGCTCTGACCCTGTGGTAACCGCTCCGTCCTCCTTGTCTTCCCCAGGCTCTCCAAGTGGCCAGACAGCTCCTTCTCCAGCAGCAGCAGCAGCAGCAGCAGCAGCAGCAGCAGCAGCAGCAGCAGCAAGTCAGTGGGTTAAAATCTCCCAAGAGGAATGACAAACAACCAGCCCTTCAGGTAACACTTCTTTTCTTCTTAATCCTCACCCAAGGACATGCTCACTGATTTTTAAAGAGAAGGCAAGGGACAGAGAGAAACATTGGTGTGAGAAATGTTTCGCACACACCCCAACTGGGGTTCGAACCTGCAACCTTTTGGTGCACAGGCCGATGCTCCAACCCACTGAGCCACCCGGCTAGGGCCTGGTAACAGTTCTTTTAAAAATAAATGACGTACACACTTGGGACAGCTAAGAAGTGGATTGTGGTGAGAATTGCAAATCATGTAGGAGGACCTTCCGCAGAGGTGCCTTGAATCTACCAGCAGAGAATGACGTTTTAGGAAAAATGTGTTGTTGGGAGTGAGATCTGCTAACTAGTCAGGGTACTAGGAGGATGAGTGTGGGTTGCTTACGAGGGCAGCTAACCACTGAGGAGAAGTTTCCAGTGCTCAGACCTGTCGCCACAGTCTCTGTTGGTGGGTCTGAACCAGCTGTCATGATAGGACACGCACAAACCTTGCTTCAGGGCGGGGGGGCGGTTTTGCCCCAGGGACAGTGGGCGGTGTCTGCAGGCACCCCACAACTTGGGGAGTGCGCACTGATGCGTCTGACATCTGACAGTCCAGCACGCGGAGGCCAGGGGCCCTGCAGGCAACACATTGCCCCACAGCTCAGCTGCTCCCCCAAAGCGTCAGCAGTGTCACGAACTGTGACTGGGACCAGAGAGGGTGGGGCCTTTTTAATACGACCTGTCGTGAATGCGACACACACTCTTCAGGGAATGCTTTTAGTATTTTCTGAATTATTAATAAAAAATGATGAGCAATTCTTAGGTCAAGATACCAAGAAGTATTGTTTTAGTAACTTCTCCTTTCAGGCACAATGTGGACAAGGATTCACAGGGTAGAAAAAGGAGTGAGCTTATACAAATCTAATTTTGATTTTCTATCAGAGTAGAAAACTTGAATAGAAAATTTCAAAGAACCTCGCCCCAGGGTTCTCATGCTCACATCCAGGAGGGGTGCCTGCAGGTTCTAGGTGGCTCGACTATCATAGCCGAGGGCGGGCGGCCCCGACTCGGAGCCTCATGTGAGTTTCTCGCACTGGACATTTTGGAACAGAATTTGTAACCGCTGCTGATGGGCATAGCTCGGTGCTAATTAATGTGAGCATGAGGCTAACCCCAATTCTACACTGTGCCGGCTGTTCTCAGATCGGAGTAAGCCAACCATTTGCACTGTCTGCAAAGAGCACACTGGCGGGGGCAGCGGGTCTCGCTCTGCGCCCGCAGGGAGCCCTCCAGGCAGAGGGGAGCCCAGCGCTTAGTAACTCCTTCCTGGGATGGTTCCGAGCGCATCGCTTGCCGGCACGTCCACAAACACTTGTTTGGTAGACCACCATGGACCCACGTGCTTCTAATGTTTGCAAGTGCTGGGGACGTTTTAATGAGGTGCGGTGCCGGCGAGGTCCCTGTCAGGTGCTCTGAGGGAGCTTTGCTGTGCACATGTCTTAAGAACAGCTCTGGAGGATGAAATATGACTGTGCTGACCTTTCAGCTGTGAGCTTATTTGTCAGGATTCAAATAAGTTGAAAGGATCAAACTGAACAGTTTCCGTAGTCAGACTGGGAATTGTGTTTCAGGGGTCAGCAGCGGAGGCCACACTGCAGATTCCAGAACACAGCCCATTGTTGGTACATATTAAAGTGCTGGGGCATCTCCTGCAGACAGAGATACAATTAAAATTCTAATTTATTCATGTATACAGGAGCTGCCCAGCCTGTCACTCCGTGGTTCCAAGGACTGGCCATTCTTTTTGTCTCCCTCTGGGAGCTTCCGTAGCCTTAAAAGTACTGGGAGTCCTCTTGGCTTTATCAGACCTCAAGCGTATTGGAAAATGACAATATATTAATGGGGGGTGGAAATTTTACAGAAAGAAGAGCTGTGGTTAGAGATTTGAAAAAACAGTACACACATGTACAGTCTGACTGATGCACTGCTCTCCAGGATTGAATATCGTCTGTAATTTTTATACTAGACTTATTTTTCCTCATACTTGCTTTAAAAAAAAAAAAAAAAGAAAAAACATATGGCATTTTTAGGTGACTTCTTTTCCAAGATGAGCGAAGTTCCTGGAGGGCTGAACAGATGAAGTAAAGTTTCAGGGGATTTCCTTTCGAGGGCTCTTCTTCTTGCCTGTTCTAATGTTTTTAGCTACCAGAGAGGATGACAGAGCTTCACGTTTCTTGGCAAGGACAGTGTCGAAGCCGACCTGACACGTTTTGCTGAGCACTCAGTCTGTGTAAGAAGTGTGGGGCGAGGCCGCCTTGGGTGCTGGTTCCGCTAATGAAGATGTTTTACGTCGCTCCCTACGCCTCAGTGGGAGGCTTGACAAGCAGAGAATTTAGACCAACTTTAGGAATTGATTGGGCAAAAGAGTTGGTTGACTCGTATGTGAGAGACAATGTGTGTGTGAGAATGTGTGTGTATGAGAATGTAGATGTGTGACTCAGTGCATGTGTGAGCGTGAGAGTGTGTGTATGTGTGTGAGAATGTGTGTGTATGAGAATGTGGATGTGTGACAGAGAGTGCATGTGTGAGTGTGAGAGTGTGTGTATGTGTGTGAGAATATGTGTGTATGAGAATGGATGTGTGACTGAGAGTACGTGTGTGTATGAGTGCATGCTTGTGATTATGAGTGTGTGTGTAAGAATGTGCATGTGTGTGTGACTGTGAGAATGTATGTGAGGCATGTGTGTATGAGACTGAGTATGAGTGTGTGTAAGAATGTGTGACTGTGTGTGAGAGAATATGTGTGAATATGAGAGTGTGTGTAGGTATATGAGAGTGTGTATGAGTGACAAGAGTGCGTGTGTATGAGAGTGTGTGTGAGTGTGTGACTGAGTGCTTGTGTGTGAATATGAGAGTGCATGTGTGGGTGATGAGGTGTGTGTATGAGAGTATGAGTGACAGAGTGCGTATGTGACTGAGAGTGCGTGTGTGTGCGACTATGACTGTAAAAGTGTGTGAGAGTATGTGTGAGTGTGTGTGTGAGTGTGTGTGACTGAGTGTATGAGTACATGTGTGTGTGTGAGTATGAGAGTGCGTGTGTGAGTGTGTGTATGAGAGTGTGTGTGTGTGTGTGTGTGTGCATGCGTGTGCACACCATAGAGAAGGCTCCTCAGCAGCCAGGTGTAGTCACACAAATGCACTCAGTTTTATTAGCATGGCTGGCCTTCCACAGACAAAGCAGAAATGACTAGCCTAAGTCACATGTAGGTTATGTCGTTAGGGAAATATGCACGTAGGCTCGGGGACTCACAGGAGGACTAACCTGTGCATGTAAACATCTGCATGTCCTGGTGGCAGCTCATCCGGGACACTCGGGACTGAACGAGAAATCCTGCAGTGAGTCTCAGCAGTGCTCATTTCTCATCTCCTTGCTCTTCCTAGCTAGAGACCTATTTTAGCCACTTCAGACCTTCTGCACGGAGGAAGGCTTCACATGGAAGAAGGATTTGATCTGCTGATAGCTTGAGGAAAAAGAAAGCAACCCAAATCCCCAAATACACTGTGACTCATATTTTAAGCATATCTCACACTTCCCTGCTTTGTGTTTGGCAGCTCTCCCCAGTTTCACAGGCTGGTGATATAAACAAAGGGAAGGGAAAGTTCGAGGAGCTCTGCATGGTTACTCGACAGAGAGCACAGAATGTATCAAACCTCCCGGTTTGAGCGATTTCGGGATCGGAGTGAAGGGAGAGGAGTAACATTCTTTGCAGATATGCCTATTGAACAAAATCTGAGCTGGTGACATTGTTGGGTGACATTGTGGTCTATATAAGTGATTCACTGAGTATAGATACTGCAGAAGTTCTTTAAAAATACTTTACTTATTAACCTAAACAGCCCCTTATTTTTAGTCTTTAATTTGCTTTGCCGGTTTTTTATGAATGATATAAATGAAACCTGGCCTCATCAAAAGTTCAGAATCAGGGTGATCTCCGTTGATCGCATGCAAACTGGTGGGCAGGTCTGGAACACCGCAGGCAGATGTCTTACTGACGCCACATACCCGACTGGGCGAGACAGGCCTGCCTTCAGAATGCTTGAGCGTTGTAAACAATTAACAGGATTTTGCTGCAGAGAGAAAATGATATGTAAGTAAAAATAGTAGGCTTACTTTTATAAATATTTATATACTTCTGAAGATTGCTTAAACAAGTGAAATAAGGGCTTAATGGTGCAGGTGTGCTCATAACCTCGAACATGAGGAACTTTACTGGCTGAAGATTAATTTGTGAGTAGATGAGCAATTTTATTGATCGAAATTTGGAACTTTGACCACCATTTCTGGGTAGTAATTCATTTTGGTTCTTAAGCGTTTTAGTTGTTGGCATGAATACATAACCTGGAAGGAAGTCAAATGACACATTTTCTCCTGAGAAAGTAAAAGTACATGTGTGTTCTGGCGAGTCCGGAGTCAGGAATGAAAGTCGACCTCGTGTGACGCTTGCAGTGCGAGGCTGACCGCTCTCAGGCATCAGTGATGAAGTGGAATCTGAAATCAGGCACCTGACAGGCTTCCTCCTGCCTGTCCCTCCCTTCCAAGGTCATACCATATGCAGACCCCTCACACAGGAGACTGTTTCACTGGGATGGGGTCATGAAAGCCACTGGAAGGCCAGTCGTTTAGTCCAGGGGAAGCTTGGGATTATAATGAGGACGCTGCTCGTGGAGGAGGTTCAGATGCCGCATTCAGCAGGTGTTTCTTAGCATTTTTATTTGCAGTTATATAAAACATGCTTTAGGCAGCATTTTGGCTTTGCATTAATGCCATAGAGAATTTTGCATCTTGTGTCATTTCCATGTTACTCAGTAAGGAATAAGTCAGTAAGAGGAACCTTTTAAAGGAAACTATATTTTTATGTTGTAGTAGGGAAACGGAATAGTTTTGAAATACTGACCCTTAAAAAATATCCCTGTGCACTGAATTAGTAAAGTGGACAATTCAGAGCA